GCTGGGGATGCACTGAAGCTGGGGATCGAACTCGAACTGAAGCAGCTGCAGCCAGCTTGCAGTGTTGAGTCCTAACCTGTTGTGCCGCCAGGGAAGGCCCCTAAGTCATTATTTTAACATTCTGACTTTCAAGTCTTTCATCATAATTTTCAAGAATCTCACAAAATACACTTCGCTTTATTATTCCTAAATTGTGTCTATACTAAAACAGCAGTCTGCATTTTTTTTTCAGATTTATTTATGCATATAGAACCGAGGTACAGGTGAGAGGTGCAGGGGTGGTGAGAGCATTCACCAGAGACAGAGTGGGGAGCAGAATAGACAGATCTATGAAGTACACTGCTGAGGGAAGCAGTGGGGGGGCCAGGACAGGTCTGCTGTGCCATGTGGATCACCTCCAGGGTGGGGATCTAACTCTCACTGAAGCAGCTGCCACCAGCTTCTTAGTGGTATATGCTCCAACCCTCTGCACCACCAGGGAGGTCCCAAACACTAGGTAGGACACTTTGGCTACTACATGCCTTATATGGCTATTTTTGAAAACACATGCTGCTCTCAAAACACTTTTAAATTGGAAAGAAGTTAGAATTGTGCAGTTTTACACATACAATGAATTCCAAGGTGAACAGATTTCAGATCTTAATCAAGCCTACCGTCATAGTTAAGATTTACTCTTTAAAGCACCACAATAATCATCTCAAGAATAATTGTCTTTATACAGAAACCATTACTTACAAATCTCAGGTCATTATAGGTAAGGTACAATACTGACCACCCATCTACACACAATTCTAGCTCTGACCAACAAGCAAGGCTACTGCTGAAACCATTCCAGTAGGATTTGGTGGCACTAAATTCATTCAGGGATTGTGTGTCCACTGTATAAATAGACTTCTTACAGTAAATCCTAAAAAATCCGAGACAAACCTACCATATAATCAACTTCACGTTTCATTTGCACTCAAGATTGAGGTCCTAAGTAGTATAGAACCTTCCATTTTTTTGTCATCTAAAAGTAATTTCTCATTAGTATCATACAAGTTATTGCTCTTCTCAGTATTTCCTGTCAGTTGATGGAATTTGTGAACAATAATGTTTAGCAGAAAATTCAAGGTTTAATTCTTTAAAAGACAAAGAAATAAAGAATACTTCTTATAAAACCATTTAAAATCCTACATGTATTAAAAAAGCAGCTTCCCCTCCCCCCCCAGTATGCCCTAAGATTACAATAATTTATGATTTCAGCCTCTTTTTGAAGAACATCTTTAGGAGTTTGACAAAAGCCTTTCTCTCCCAAAAAACAAACATGTCTGTCCATATAAAACTTTTAATGCTACTTAAGGTAGCCCATTAAAGGTGAATCCCTTTATGAGGGATTCACCAATGTCAAGTAAGATTCTTTATCTAGGAAGCTATTTTCAGTTTTAAAAGATTTTCTACCTAGTAGCATGATCACTTGAAGAATTTATCAGTTTATAAAATTCTGGTTACCCACAATTTTATATTAAAAGAAAACGTCTTCCAGATACTTTAAATTTTTGCAATATTGAAAAAACTCTGGTATTGGTTGTCCACAAATACTAACAGCATTCACAGAATGTGTGGTTCTAAACTAGAGGTGGCAAAGAAAAGAATTCCAAAATAATGTCAAGGCCAGTGACCTTGAAAAATTTACAATCTAGTTGTACAGTCTGTTCTATTAAAAACAAAACAAAACAAAACAGAAACCTCCTTTCAACAATTTACTGATCATTTTGAACAAAAACGGTAGTCTTTAAGCTGAAACCTTTAAACGGAAAGGAAAAGGAATACTATGGGGAAAAAAGGACCACAAAATAGAGAAATTAAAGAAGAAAAAAAGAACCTAAAATTTTCTAAGGAACATGTACTAAGAATGTGTTTGATTGGCCAGATTACCTAGCTTGAAAACCTATAGGCAGTTCCACAAGTGAAGTCAATACAAAAATTTTACAACTTCGATAAAGATTTTACTTAAATAAAAGCTACTCTGAACTAGTAAGAAAGCAAAAAATTTACTGGGGAACAAAAACACATGACTGGTATGCTATCCATTCCCACTATCCTGCCCGTGGCAGACATCAATGATTAATCACACCACCCTTTCCTTCCACTGAGTCCTAATTTCTTTCAACATAATTGTCCAGTAGAAATCATGGTGGGCACTAAAACTGAACCTATTTGCCTACCCTTGATAGCTTTTTAATGTTGTTCAACTAAATGAAATGACAAAAATTTATTTGATATTCAGTGAGTTTTTAATAAACTTCTGAACTGTTTCCCCAAACACAAAGATCCTTTAAAAGGCTTAAATTTTTTCTCTGTTAAAGAGAATAAAACATAGTTAATATAAACTTTATTAGAAAAAAACTTTATAAAAAATTAACCATCAAAAGAGTTGTAGAAAACTGTAACTAGCTACATTTTTCAGTAGCCCTTATTTCTGACCCAATTTGAGTTATAAAAACCAGAAAATTTATTTTTTCTGAGTACCAGTACAATTAAAAACCAGACTTAGTTAGGCACTTAGTACAGCAGGTAAAGCACAGCACTAAGAAGCTAAAGCCACTTCAGCATGAGTTTGATCCCTGCCTGCCCAAGAGGTGATCCAAATGGCACTGCAGACCTCTCCTGACCCACTCCCTGGGCTCCCCAAAGCATTGTACTTCATTGATCTGCCTGTTCTGCTTCCCACTCTGTCTCTGGTGAATCCTCTCAGCACCCCTGCACCTCTGGCCTGTGCCCCTGTTCTGTATACACAAATAAATATATCTTTAAAAAAACAAAACAAAAACAAAAACCCAGACATAACCACATCATTTAAGGGTTAAAAAAGTAAAGACTTTTAAATACCTAATATAGCATGTATCTATAAATCAAGTAAGAGAAGAAAGTATTGACTTTGTCCTTGCAGCTTAAAAGAAATTCATAGGTCAACATTTATTTAAAAAACTCTAAAGAAAATATATATCACTATTTAGGAGCTCTGTCATTTCCTTTTAAAAAGAATCTAAAATAGAACATTCCCAACAGCTAGATGCTAGAAATTGAAATAAAACATACCCCTGGAACTTAAGGTGGGAGACTGTTACCATAAAAATAAACAGGAAGAGGGCCCTCCCTGGTGGCTCAGCGGGTTAAAGTGCAGCACTAAGAAGCTAAAGCCACTTCTACAGGAGTTTGATTCCCACCTGCCCCGGAGGTGACCACATGGCTTAGCAGACCTCTCCTGACCCGCGTTGCTCCCCTCAGCAGTGTACTTCGTTATCTGCCTGTTCTGCTCCCCACTCTGTCTCTGGTGAAGTCTCTCACCGCCCCTAAGCCTCTGGCCTGTACCCCAGTTCCGTATGCACAAATAAATAAATCTTAAAAATAAATAAATAAAAAATAAACAGGAAGAGCTGGGCTCAGTAAGTTGTAAGAAAGCACTGTGAGAAAAGTGAGAATTATTTTCTAAATCCTTACATCTAGCAAAGAGAAATAATAATATTCTTAAAAAAAAAAAAAAGACATGGCACTCCAGGTTCCTAGCCTTAGTAAACAAAATTAAAGCAAGGTTAACATTGGACACACAGTATCAAGAACTCTATCACAAACAGGCATTTCCCCTCTCCAACTTTAACCTTAATTTGTAGTAATGCTGAAAATAATAAATGTTTTGAGAAAGTATCTGTTAGTGTCCATTTGGGTAAATAAGTGTATTGTAAAGTCCTTTTTCAGTAAAGTTCTTTCAGCAGCAGTTTGTTAAGTAGGCATGACCTCAAATTTTCCACATTGTAGAGCTCCCTTTGTATACCCATTCTGAATTTCACTCACATTATTTCCTGTTATTTTTAAGGATTATAGTTTGAAAGAGCAATTACACTCTTTTTTCCTCCTAAAATATAAAAGTGTAATAAACATTCCTGCCCAGAACCATTTTTCTACCAAAAACAGGAGTGAAACATGAATCATCTATGAAGACTAGAGATATTCCCTAGAGTATGCAGATATCTAAAAATACACTTACATCCAGTTGTCTGTAGATGCTTTTTCATTTGGGCAGACCATTCATTTGGAGAAAAATGCATTTAAAATTTAAGTTTATTATGTTAATTGAAATAAGCCGGATAGGAAAACACTACATGATCTCACTTCTATGTGGAATCTTAAAAAAGAAAAACTCATAGATAAAGAGATCAGATTTGAGGTTGCCAGAGAGGAGGGTGGAAGGGGGAATTGGAAACTGGAGGGCAGTAATCAGAAATATAAACTTCCAGTTGTAAGTACTTAGGAATTTAATGTACAACATCCTGCATGATGTCATAGGTAAGTTGTGGAGAGGGTAGATCCTAAAAATTTTTTATTACAGGAAAACACATTTTTTGGTCTCTGTATAAGATGATGAATGTCAACAGCACCTACTGTGGTAATCAATTCACAATATATGTAAATCAAAGCAGCGTGCTGTATGCTTTGAACTTACACAGCATGTATGTCGATTATTTCTCAATAAAACTGGGGGCGGGGAGAATGTCCCTCTTGCTAAAACATATATGGAGATAAAAACAGATCATCTTTGTTCTACGTAAGGTAAAATACTTTGAATAAATGAACATGACCAGGAAAAAAACGGTCAAAATCTGGCTAGTAATTGCTGGAAAGTGCTTTTTGGGGCAAGAAGATGCACCTATTAAGTTTATAGTTACTGGACACTCCCCCCGCCCCGCCCCCCCCCAGCGGCTTTACTCTTATTACCTGTACTTAGTAAAACAGAGCACTATTATATACAACTATCTCGTGGGGGAGGGGAAATCTAAACACTAACCAAAAGTACTTCTTAAGGCCAATTAAAGAAAGCCATGGCTTTCTTACTACTCAAAAGTGCGGGGATAGACAGGTCCCTTTCCCTTGGAAAAACAAGTGTCACAAAAGCTCAAAGGCTCCATCCAGCCTTCGATAAGGAGCAAAAGCGATGACTGAAGCCCACACTAGGATCTCACCTCCTGGATGCGTTTCCTGGCCCGCTGAAGTACTTCTTCGTAGCCCTTCTGTCGCAGCTCGCTAAGACTTTCGTAATACTCCTCGGGGTCGTCAGTCTCGGTGAAAAGTACCTGGGAGAGGATCTTCCAGCCGCAGGTGTCCAGGCCGTGGCCCAGGTAGACCTGGAGCTGGTAACACAGAGTGTCGATCTCCTGCTCCGTCATCTCCGGGGCGCCCCCAAACAACACGGTCCACATGCCCGAGGGCTCCTCGGGGAACACCGGCAGGCACGGTTCCAGCTGCGAGTTCACCGAGCACAGCTGCTGGTGCACAGCGCGCAGATCCTGGAAGGAGAAGAGTCCGGCCCAGCTGCACTCCTCCGCCGGGGATTCCAGCTCCGTGGCAGGCGGAGGCTGCTCCGCGTCAGGGAGAGCCGGGGCTGCCGGAGCCGCCGCTTCATCCTTCACCAATTCCAGCACCTCGATCTCTTCCGAGAGCGCTCCGCAGGCGCTCACTACCCGCACCGAGGACACCGGGGCCTCCTCCCGGGGTGCCGGTGGGGCAGCTGCAGCGGTGGCCCCCGCCACATCTTTGCCCTCAGCTCCTTTCCGGACCGGGCTGGACTTGGCCCGCCCAGGGCTCCGAAGAGGACTCTCCGCCCCTTTACTGACCGGACTCCTCAGCAGCGGGTCCCCCCTAAGGCAGCGCGTGCTCCGCGGAGAGCCGCCTTCCGCCCAGGCCGGGCTCCTCCGGGGCCCGGGACTCCTCCCCAGAGTCGAAGAGGCAGTGGCCTCGGACCGGCCCTTGGCCGCCGGGCTGCCCGGCCCGCGGGTCCCTTCCGACGCGGGTGCGCCGGGCTCAGTGCTCCCTCGTGCCCCCGCCTGCTCCCGGGAGCCACTCCTCTGACGCTGGGCCGTCCGATTGTGGCAGGTTATTGCAAACTTGCCCTCGATCTCGTTCCAGGCCACAATAAAGACGAACTTGTGCTTCTCGCGTTCGTCGAACACATGGGGCCGCACGGCGACCCAGTCCGACTCGAGCGTCTCTTCTAGCGCGAACGACATGGTGGCTCTGGCTCCAGGCCGCGGGGGAGGCGCCGCTGGCCTGCCCGCCCGAGACTCACCGGCTGGCTGCGCCGCGCCCCCTGCTCACCGTTGCCGGGCGCCTTCAGCCATTTTAGCGCACCCGCGGGCTCTCCCTGCTCGCTCGCCTGCCCCTCGGCACACAGATCCGCCGCGCTCCTTTGTGCGCGGCTCGCGTGAAAGACAATACGTGTCCCCGAAGCAGGTAGTTCACATGGTCACGTGCGGCCCGATCTGTTTACAAGCCTCGCGCTGCGGCAGCGCCTCGCGCCCGCCCCGGCCGCCCCTCGCGCGAGGCCGCGGTGTTGCGTCTGCGGCGCTCCGGAGGTAGAGCACGGATCTTGCCGGGCAGGGCAGGCGGATAGACGATCTAGGTCGGCGGTGCGTTGGGCAGACGCCGCTCGCGGCAGCCAATCTCCCGCCCCTCCTCTTTCCGACAGTCCGCAGCCAGCCAGACTGACGGACTCGTCTCCTAAACTCTAAGCCTCAGTATCGCCACAATGTTGCCATTCAGCTGCTGACGTCGGCGGCTCCACGAGGGACGTAAACATGGGCACGTGCCGCACGCTGCTGACGCGGCGGCGGCGGCGGCGGCGGCGGCGGCGGCGGCGCGCACACCCCGCCCGCGCGCGCTGGCACCGCCCCTCAGCGTCCCCCACCCCCTCTCAGCCGAGTCTCCTCCTCCCCCCCGGGGCTGGAGCCGGCATCTCGCTGACCCCGCGGGTGGTGAGAGTGACAGGTGTGTCCTACGGGGCTGGGGACGTCGGAGCCCTGCGGAAAGAGGAACAGAGGCAGAGGAAGTGAGCCTTTTCGAACTCCAGTGATTTAAAGTAACCCGCAAAGGTAAATTTGCCTCCATCACTCAGGTAGTCAGAATGGTAGCTTGTGCGCTTAGAAAAAAATGTCAAGGAAAATTACGAGAACTTCCTGACAAAGTTTATTGGCATCCCTGAGATTTTTGGATTCTCTTCTAACACGCTAGACACACAGTTTAACATATGAAAGGAAGGTGCCTGACGGCACCCCGTAGCAGTCCAAAATAAAATTATATGAAAAATCTAGTCTTGTCCTAATAGAATCAGTGTTTACATTTCTGGTCACAGTGTTTTATTGCTTCAGGTTTCATCATTGTGTACTGTTCTGTGAACCGCGTTTTGAGGTCAATGACTGAGACCTTTTGATGTTGTATTCAATTATCTTGAGTTCCCAGAATATACATACATGTAAATTTGAAGAATTATGCTAGCCATACTACGATCAAACACACTCTTCAAATTGTCTAGTGCATCTTATATTTCTATTTTATATTATTGTCATTCTCTTTTCATTCAGCTCATATTGTAGGTGTGGGAATTATTCCTGTACTTTTATCCATATTTCTAAAAACATAATGCAATACTATTTACCATGCTATTCAACAACAATTACTTCAATATTGTCCTGAAACCTGAATAAACAGTTAAGGAGAAAAAATCACATTGGGCAGGAGGAGCAAAAATGTGAAAAGATGGGTTTTTAAACCTTTTTACAGTTTTTGTAACCATAAATTTTCAAAGCATGTAACTAAATTTATTTGAATTTTCAAATGCAAATCAAAAATGTACCTTTGAAGTGCAAGTAGAAAGAAAATCCATTATAAATCTATATCATCAGCTAAGTAAACAATAGCACACTGTAGAAGTTTCCCATTTTCCTGCTAAAAAGTTTTACTAAAATTTTTCTTAAAATAAATGATGTCATAATTAACAGCTTTCTTATAATACATTACAGGTAAGTATGAATACTGAGGATGAATGTTGCAGAAGTGCTTACAGGAAATATTTTTACTTTCATGTATATTGAAATTGCAATATTAAAAAAAAGTTCAGAAATGCCAGTAGGATCCAAAAAAAAAAATTGCAATATTTGTCCACAGATCCAAAGTTGTCTTAATATTGTTATAGAACATTGGCTTGTGATTATGTAAGTGTTAAATGTTTTCCCACAATACTTTGGCCACAATGTTTTGTCAAAGGGGTTTGTCTGTGTTTCTCGTTTCCCTTAGCTTAGCAATTGTTATTTTAGAAATGAAAAGAAGCAAACCAAAATTCCCATGACACATTACAACTATAGACTCTACAGTTCTTTATTTTGTTCTGTATCTGATTGTCACACAAGATATGAGTGTATAAATTACTTCCTGGGAATAAGTAAAGCTACAGAAAAACTTCTACATCATACTAGCTTTGAAAGGGCTTGAAAACAATTATCTGTAGGAACTGAGGGTTCAGTTTTGTATTGCTTTATATTGTGAACAATATTGAGATTGTTAGGTAATCTGGGAAATGCTTCTACTCTTTAGTCCTTTCAATGAAAACTACTAATGTTTACAGAGCAATTTTCAAATTATACAGCATTCTCCTGCACATACCCATTTATTCTCATAATAATCATATAATGTAGGTTTTTAATTTTATCTATGAGAAAAATGCAATTCTGATTTAGTTAGGACATGTATCTCCATGCTAGAAGCAGAAAATGACCTGATTTAGAAGCCTAGTAGAGGTATCTGTCTCAGTGAGATTCTCCCAGAAGCAAACAACTGAAATTAGAAATGCAAACGTTTATGGGGTTACACTGGGAGGTGTAACACCAGTGAAAGACAAGGGGGCCGAACCTGGATTGGACCTGTTAGTCCAACAAGGAGTTCTGGAGCAAAGACTGTTCTTTAACAAAGCTCCTCTATTGAGAGGAAATGGTTAGGCCTGTCATTGACTGGGTCTCACTATGAGAAAAGCATAGGATGAAAACCTGTGAAGCTGTCTCTGAAAACAGGAACATCTGGGAACTGCAGCTGCTGGCCAGTCTTCTCAGAGGAAGATCTGATTGACTTTTTCTGCATCTGTCAGTTTACTTTGCATGCCAGGTTTATGTGCTTTATAACATATTTTTTGGGGGCAGCTGCTATAATCTTCAGACTATAGATGGTCTCATGGCCACCACTGGTGTTCATTGTCGCCCTCTTACACCAGCAGCACCCAAGTGGCTCACCGGAGTCCTCCCAGCTCCCATTACCTAATAGCAGCCCTGACTCCTGTAGACTACAGTCAACTATCTCTGACAAGATGATGTTTTATCCTTTACCCTGCTGGTTCCTGGGCCTAAAGTGTCCAAGTGGCAGCTGTAGCCTGTAGTTCAACGGAATCTTGTTATCCCCTGGCAAGAACACATCCATTTTGGGAACTAGGCCTCTAATCCTGCAGAATCCAGAACTGTGGGGACAGCAAGACCTCTTCTGCTGAACCCCTTGGACCTATGTATTCTTCTTCTTGGGAACATAGTGTTATCTAAAGACCTGTGATTCATCATTTATTCATGATTTGGAGGATGAAACCAACCATTCTTGCAGGGTGTTGCCTCTAAGGTGGTATTTCAACTGTATGCTTAGCAGATCATATCAGCACTCTGTTTAGCTAGTAACTTCTAGATGACTCAGTATTAACATGACCAGTGAATCTGTAATGTCCTGGTTGGATAGAGTATTGTTTAATATCTGTAGACTAGGCATTATGTATGTGGCTTGCTAGTGATGCTGGCTGAGGCCTTGTAGGTGGAACAGTCAAAGTGGCAAATGAAAATGCCTTTAATCCATGCAAGGCTGTCATTTTTGACACTGTGGCGATATTACCTATTTGTCTATCATGCTAGTAAATTGCAGTTAATGACATTGTTTGGTTTACTTTGTTACTTGCTGTCCATGCCATCACCATTCTGGTGATCATTAATACATGATATTCATATCTTGTGAATCTTTATATCTTCTGTTTACTTTCCTATGTTCATCTACATATCTTTTCCTCAGACATCCTTGTCTCTGATACTCTTTTACTTTTTTAATCCTTTTATATTCCTGACCATTCATCATTGTCCATGAGTCCATATACATTTTGACTTTCAGTCACTTCTCCTTTCACACAGAGATTGGACATGTGTATCTCCTGAAGCTCAGAGTCATTGGTTGGAGTAAGATTTGAGAAAAATTTGTTTTTCATATAATGTATCATTGCTGTCTTTCACAGCCATTCCTGAGTAAGGCTAAAATAGCACACAGTATTCACTTTCGGTTTTCACTTATATATTGAATCAGTCATCAATAAACCAAGCTAAAAGTTACTCTTACCTACAGCTGGTTGAATGGGAGTTCATTCCCTGAGGAGGGACACTGCTATGTGGCAGATGCCATGTTGGGATATAATAAATGCCATGGGATTCTAGACCCACTGATTAGCCCTTTTCCCTGTTCATGCTGAGTCCCCGAAGTATTTCCATCTTACAACATATTCCTACTAGATCCATCTTACTCTATGACTTGTTCCCAACTCACAATGGACAGTTCCAGACTCTCATCACTTGGTACTCTAAGGACAAGCATTCCAGCCCTAACAAAGCCCATTAGAATTCTGGAATTCTACTTTACAAAAAGTACTTGATCCTCTTCTGCAAGTGATATAATCTTACTCCATAACTTGGGAATCTTGGCTGTATTCTACCAGGATTTTTCATAAACTAGCACCTTATCTTTTTCTACTACCATAGAGTGTGCGTAGATTTGTGTTGCAAGTTGAAGAACTGCTTGCTCTGCAGACAGAATCTCCTGCAATCATTCTCTGTTCTAAGCCCTATTCAAAATCAACACATTCCTTATCATCCAGTATATCTGCTGGAGAAGCTTCCTAAGATCCGAAATGTGTTGCCTCCAAAGCATAAGGCATCTTACCAATGAGTGCACTTTCATCATTGTAGTAGTAGTTGCATAATACAGCAATGTGTGCTTTGCTTTGAAGGGGATGTCCTCGCATAAATGGGGTGTGCAGAAACTTACTGCATTGGCAAGTACTTTAATATTGATAAAGTGCATCTCCCTCTCTCAGGTGTATGTGTGTTTTACGAAGATCTCCAGCATGCTAGCACCCTGTTACTCATCCAGCATGATCTCATCAATATAATTAATCAATAGATGTTCTGTAGTATGTCCATATGTTGAGATGTCTTCAGGCTAAATTATAATAGATAGCAGGAGAGTTCACAGAGATAAAACTGTTCAGATCTTTCTGACTGGAATAGAATAAGTACACTTTCATCAAATCAATGACTGCATACTATGTAAATTCCTATTATATATTTGGGGTCAGGGGAATGGATATGAACTGAGTTCACAGACCCAGTTGACCTAGATTTTGGTCAAGACTATAATTATCTGGTGTCTGTGTGCCCTCGAACTCAAAGCCTATGATGCAGTTTCTGTCTGTTGGGTATCATTGTCAACTCTGACCTTGTATTCAATGATCCTCAAAGTGTCTAAGTATTTTCCTTTCCCCAGTGAACAGTAGTCAATCAAATATATAGCCTAAATCCCTTTGGGAAAGCAGTGGGAAAGCACTGTGTTGCAGTGTTTTTTGTACTGAAACTTGTCAGTGGGCACTATATCTGGAACTAATTCAGGTCCACAAATTGAGCAAAAGG